GTGCGTGTTCGTGTGCGTATACGTCCGTGCATGTATGTATCTCTTCACCCATCATTCTATTTATCTACATCACAGACAGAACCTGCAGCTCCCGTGCCGCGCGGCGCCCACTCACCCCGCCGCCCCTCCGGTTGGAGATGGACACGTGCACGAACAGCGAGGCGTTCTCCATCGGCTCGCCCATGCTCGACAGCAGCCGGACGTGGCGGTACCCTGCAAGAAGGTCGGACGGTCTCTGAGCTGCTCCTTTGCCCCTTTGTCAGAGAAATGGGGGAGGCGGGGAAGGGAAGGGCATCGGGTTCATTGTTTTATGACTTTAATTCAAATCGAGAGAGAGAGAGAGAGAGAGAGAGAGAGAGAGAGAGAGAGAGAGAGAGAGAGAGAGAGAGAGAGAGAGAGAGAGAGAGAGAGAGAGAGAGAGAGAGAGAGGAGAGAGAGAGAGAGAGAGAGAGAGAGAGAGAGAGAGAGAGAGAGAGAGAGAGAGAGAGAGAGAGAGAGAGAGAGAGAGAGAGAGAGAGAGAGAGAGAGAGAGAGAGAGAGAGAGAGAGAGAGAGAGAGAGAGAGAGAGAGAGAGAGAGAGAGAGAGAGAGAGAGAGAGAGAGAGAGAGGAGAGAGAGAGAGAGAGAGAGAGAGGAGAGAGAGAGAGAGAGAGAGAGAGAGAGAGAGAGAGAGAGAGAGAGAGAGAGAGAGAGAGAGAGAGAGAGAGAGAGAGAGAGAGAGAGAGAGAGAGAGAGAGAGAGAGAGAGAGAGAGAGAGAGAGAGAGAGAAAGAAAAGGAGAGAGATAGAAAAAGGAGGAGAAAAAAAAAGAAAAAATAGGAAGAAGAAAATAAAAAGAGAGATATATATAGAGAGAAACAGGGATCGATAGATACACAGATATACAAATAGATAGATAGATAGAGCTAGATATAGAGAGAAAAAAAAGAAAAAACACAAAGAGAAAGAGAATGAGAAAGAGAAAGTGAAAGTAAAAAAGAAGAAGAAGAAAATGGAAAAAAAGAAAAAGAAAAAGAAAGAGACACCGAGACATAGATAGACAGATATATAGATAGATAGGCAGAGAGAGAGAGAGAGAGAGAGAAGGAGAGAGAGAGAGAGAAGGAGAGAGAGAGAGAGAGAGAGAGAGAGAGAGAGAGAGAGAGAGAGAGAGAGAGAGAGAGAGAGAGAGAGAGAGAGAGAGAGAGAGAGAGAGAGAGGAAGACCAAAAGCAACAGAGCCACAGCGGACCGCCGCCCGGACCACCGACCCGTCTGGATGCAGTCGAAGGGCACGGTGCACTGGCCCACGAAGTCGTCCCCGATGAACTCGTCGTCCAGGACCACGAAGCGGACGATGGCCAGTTCGGGGAGGTTGATCAGGAACTCGAAGCTCTCGTCGAAGACCGGGAAGCTGCTGTCGTTGCTCACGGTGCGGGTCTTGGCCTCTGGGGGAGGGGGGGGGGTTAGGCTCTCGTTCGTCATCGGGGAGGCAGGGAGAGGGGCGGAGGGGAGGGGTTAGTGTTGCAAACGATACATGTGGAAAAAAGCCTCCTTTTCGCAGCGAGCAGCTGCTTCGCACGCCTTGCACTCCCGAGCCCAGTTGACCCAAGGCCTTGCGGGGGACCTACATCTCCCCCTCGAGCAAGCCCTGCGACCTCACCCCCCCTTGAGAGGGAGAGTAAGGGGTGGGGAGGGGGAGAGGGGGGGGCGGAGAAGGAGCAGACGTAGGGAAGGAGGCGAGGGATTTAGATTTACAACTACTTGTGAGGAAACTTGATCGAACTTCGGGCGTTGCAGGTCTGGCGCTCCGAGTTCTACTCCCCTTTCTTATCTTATTGATCTCGGAAGCGAAGGAGCGTCTATGTATTGATATAATTTCACTGTTGCAAAGTTTCCTGATGTACCGATATGCTTAACAATTACCATTTCCAGTTGCAGTCACACATACAAATACAAACATGATTTTTCTCTTGTACTCTTTGGTTTCCAGCTTTTTCATACAGAACTAAAGCATGCAAGTACGATCAGAAACATCGTTATCAGGGGCTATCGTATCTATATAAAGGGATGCAGAGTTCCATAAGTAAGTATTTCCAACTAAGCCAAAACACCATCAGAGATCACGTCACTCAGTCACACCATACTAGCCTATCATATCATCCTTTAAATCTGCTAAATCTGTATCGCCATTACCTGTGCAGTCTGCCGGAATGCCGAACACCTGGATGACGACGTAAGGGTCGATGAAACTGGCCTTCGTCGCCGTGGAGCCTCGGGGCTTCGGCAGACACTGGCCGCTGATGATCTGCTCAGGGAGAGAAGCATTAGTTTCAGCATAAATATCGGGATTAGTATGTCTATAGTATATACACAGGTATGGGTCTGAGTGCATGTGTAAGAGTGAATGTATCTATAAGTATGGGCGTTCAGTACCGAATCCCGTGAATTATATCTCCTTTCCTTAAGAAATGGCTTTCCGAAACACTTGTCCTGCGTGGCGCTGTTTCGTAATTGCTTTCTAACATCAAGGAGCAAGCTTGAGTCATAAATCTTCTCTGAAATTCGCTCTCGAGAGGCAAGAAATTCTGGCTGTGGTTGGTCGCCAAAATGCACTTTATGGCAGCGGTGGTAAATGGCCGACCATAAAATCTTTTCGTTATCTCGTTCCCAACTTTTCTCTTATATATATATATATATATATATATATATATATATATATATATATATATATATATATGTATATATGTATATATATGTGCACATGTACATATATACACATAAATATCTATATACATATATTCACACCTAAATACTTATATCTGTGTTTGTGAATGATAAAATACTGCTGTGTTGAAAAACAATAAAACACGCAATGGGTTTCTTGAAATATGGTACAGGTCAATAAACTGATGCAATGTATAGTGCTCTTTTCTACACATATATCCTTTCTCCTCTCCTCTCCTCCCCCTCATCCCCTCTCCCTTCTTCTCCCGCTTCACAGCCTCTATCCCGGTCCTCCCCCTCCCCCCCTGACCCAGCCTGACCTTGATCTTGAGGAGCTGCGGCGCGACGCCCGGAATGGTCTCCCTGGAGTTGGCCGAGAACACGGAGATGTGCTCCCTCATGACGGCGGGCTTGATGAGGTAGCCGCAGCCGCCGTTGGCGCGGAACTTTCCTTCGTAGACGTCCATCATCTGGCCCGGAGTCTGGAAGTTGAGCGCCACTGCGGGAACGAGAGGGAGGTTGGTAACGCCGCAGGAAGATCGCGGGAAGGTTGGCACGACTGGCGATTACGTGGAGGGGAATGGGAGGAGGTGGAAGTGGCGTTGATGCGAAGGAGTTGGGTAGCATCTTGACACGGCTGTTGTCATTTTGTCAGAAGTGTCAAAGGTAAGTTTAGGTAAAACTGCAGGTCGCAGGACGCACAAACATCCCAGAAAAGACCCGCCATTAAAGAAGAAAAAGAGAAAGCAAAAGAGATAAATAAACTATACCAAAAATCGAAGGCTATGATAATAAAAAGGGGATAAAATAGTGCAATTGCGATCCAGAAATAAGGACGAAAAGCGTAAAAATCACCCACCTAACTGGCAACCCGAATTCCAGAAGTCCTGCGGGTTGTAGTTGGAGGAGTCGACGCGGGACGAATTGGGGTAGACTCTCGTCAGGAAGGTCTTATTGTGGTTGACCAGCTCTTCCGGGCACGTGTGGGCCAGCTTGGCGGCGCAGGACTCGCTCAGGCTGCTCATCTCCCCGTGGTTTTCTGCGGGCGGGATGGGCGGCGTTAGGCCGAGAGCGGCGCGGGTGTAGGCAGGGAGTGTTGAGAGGAGGAGCAGGAGGGGAGAAAAAATCATTATAATAACAATAAAAGGAAGTGAGGGTGAGGGATGTGAAAAGCTAATGGCGTTGTTACTCATGCTTTCCTTTGGGAATAAAAGTAAAAGTAACAAAACGTTAAAATATACACTATAGTGTACGCTTTACATAATATTGAAGATATATTCACCCTCTGGAAAAAAACCCAAAAAACTAAGAGAGAGAAAACCGAATACGCAGCGGCGATTGCCAACACAGGAACAAAATAAATGATGATAATACAAAAAAAAAAGAAAGAAAAAAAAAATAATAATCGAGAAATACCTCTTCCCACCCGCGCGCCCGAAAGTCATCGTTCCCCTCCTCCCATCCCTCACAGGAACCCGAAACCTTAGACGAAACTTCGAACTTTTTCATTCCTCAGAGGAGACGAGAACTGGATTTCAACTTCCGTGCAGCGAATGCTGAATGCACGATTGCAAGGTGAATTACGAAAGAATCTTTTGTTCTGTGTCAGTGAAGGATTCTTTTTCTGCAATGCCTTGTTTTCAAGCGCTAATTTTTGTTTTGCTAAGGAAGGGGATGTAAGTAGGATGAATAATGACGATGGTGATGTTGATGGCAGCAGTAATGATGAGGATACTGCTTATAATGCTGCTGTTCCTACTATTATCTACTACTACTATTACTACTACTAAGAATGATAGTGAAAATAATGGTGATAGTATCAATAATGGGCGTCTTCTGTACGCGCCGTAAAAGTTTATTTAAGTCTAAGCTAGACCTCTAATGAGCATGCGTAATGGCAGCGTCCAGGATTAAATTGATTCACCTCCGAACCAGACTTTATTATTGGTGTTCAAATCTTAATCCTGCACATGCGCAAAACGAGCTACTTAATCCCACCAATCATATATTGATACGACATGACAACGTCATCAACTCCATAGAAAAGATGAAGTTGAGTTGCCCTTAATATTTACAATAAACAATAACGAAACAAATTTTGATATTTTCCTGCGAAAATTCATCAATATATATTTTTATTTATAAGTTGTTAGATATTCAAACTGCAGGTATAACACTCAACATTGAAAAGAAAAACTAAAAGAAAATTCCACAATAAATTGCAGTTTACAGACACAGAAGAGGCCATGTTATTTCCAGGTTGTAAAAGCCTTTCCATCTTATGCAATATATTAATC